GAGTATAGCTGGCCCATTGCGGCAGCGGAAGAGATCAAGCGAGAGAGGAATTCCGAAAGAGACTCGCGAAACGGCTTGAACGCTGGCAGTTTCGATGTTAGAGGGTATACTGGAGTATCGTCCTGTTTTAAAGCTTCGGTGATGTTGTCTAGGGCGTCAACAATGCCGTCGTAATCTACAGCTTCATCTCCGTCGATGGTGTGATTGCACCCGCACGCTCGAAAGATGCAGTTAATGAGCTCTCCTTGAGCGGGGGCGGGTGATTGAGTTAAAGAGTCTAGGAAGTCTTCTACGGTGGACTGCAAAGCAGCAGAGGGGTTCATAATCGCATCTACGAGAAATCAGGAAATAGTCTAACACAAATATCGGGGTAGACGCACTAAATAGGGGATTGTCATTCGTAATCTTCGTCTCCTTCGCCACTTGCTCTGCATCGAACGCCACGCCGCCCTTGCGTGCTCGAGGCTTACGTGTTCTAGGAGCACCAGGCACTTTTGTTATACGCAATTTCTTGCCTGGGGGACGACCCCTACGCTTGGGTGGTTCGTTGGCCGCAGGACTGGATTTTCGTTGGGAGGTTTTGACCTTTGGCTTCGCCTTCGGTGCAGAATAGTCTTGTCCCACATCTTCATCGTCGTCCCTAGCTTCTGGTGTATCTACATCAGACAGCTCACTAGACTCTTCATCGTCCGGTCGCTTTCGTTTGCTCTGTTGACTGTCGACTAGGCCGTAATGAGTGCAGAGAAGCGCATCGAGATGGCGCGTATACTCACAGGACACGAATTGAGACGCTTGTTTCCTCTCTCTTTGAGACCTGCGAGGAGCAGACGGGTCCTCTTCTGCGCCCGACATGGTGAGGTTGGTGGTGGTACAAGCTGCGAACAGGGCAAAACGCGTGTGGCGGTTCTCGAGAACGTGACCAAACGTGGTTGTGATGTGTCACGCGTTTGTCACATTTACACGCCACAAGGCTGATATGTCGGCGCTTTCCACACTCTGCTTTCGCCTCGTTGTCTCTCGAGCTCCCTGGGTGTCCACTTCCAGCATATAGCTTCGCAGTATGAGTGCCAGACAACCTTTCGTTCCGCAAGGAATGGCAGCTCCTTTGTCAAGCGACATCTCTTCCAATAGCCTCAATACCAGCATGAGCTCGGACGGAGACGGTAGTAATCGGTCCTCTGCGACGTCTCTTAGTCTACACTCGAATTCCTCTGAGGACATATCTCTTGCAATTGGTAACAATAAGCCTCTCAACATTGCAAGCTTGATGAAGAAGAAAAAGTCAGTTGTCGCGGATGGCCAGCCCTTCCAGCCCAAACCTCGTAAAGCCTTCGAGGATGAAGTCAATCGCCCGTTCTCTCCTTCTGCAAAGCCTTTCAATCAAAGGAGCGCGAAAACTTCTCCATTTTTTCCTAGCTCTGCTACCTTCCAGTCTATGGCTGCCTTTCGAGCCCCACGCGTTCCATCTCCTACCAAGCGCCATTCTGCTGCTTCTATTGAGGATCTGAACACCAACAGCCCGCATACAGTCACCTCTGGCACCATTCTGGGACCTGACTGTAACGATCAGCATCTGGAAAGTAGCTCTCACGTAGGATTGAGCCGTCGCTCGCAGTCCTCTCGTGGAGTAGGAGATAAGCCGAAACAAGCGCAAGACACAGATGAAGATCGATCGCGCAGTGCAAGGAATGCCGGCCTTGATGCCTTCGACCGTGAAGAGCCGAATTCTAGTTTAGCCCACCACTACGACGTAACGTACAATGCGGAAGCTATTCCAAACGATGACCGCTACACGACGATGCCCTTGCGGCGCGTACAGAAGCGTATCGAACGCACCGAAGAGATTAGTGACGATTTGGACTACAGCGCCTCAAAGCGTTATAAGTTGGATAACGACGACGACGTTTGTTCAGATCTCAGTACACACTAGTACGCTCACTAACAACCGGCGCACATCTTCCTAGCAGCTACAGAGCAATTTCGGTGCTAGACACGGCGCGCGCACTCCGTTCCAGACCTCGCCTCGCCGTACGCCCTCCCCCGCTACTTCCCATGCCGGACAGGCGTATATCCCATCAGTTCCGCCTTCTGGCGCGCACAACGACCACGCCTTGTCCAGACTCCTCGGAGAAGACTTTGATGCCCACGCTGATGCTCACATCACTGCCTACGAAGAAGCGAAGAAGAAGTGGGCCAGTTGCACCATCGAAGAGTGGACAGCCGGGGCAGATGGTGCGCACGATTTGTTTTCGTTGCTCGAGTTCTGATATGTGAATCTGCACTTTACGACGGCTGACACATGCTCTCATTTTGTAGAATTGACCGCCAAGTTTGGCAGATTACTTGATATTGTAAGTGGTTCCAATACATGGCCCTGTTCTGTCGACTTACATTGCGGTAGGTCAAGGAACATATGAAGTATGTCAACGGTTCAATCTTGATCATTGTTCTCTCACCTCAGTCGGATACAAGTACCAAACTGTCTTTGTATGCAACGCTCACCGCCTCCCTGACATCTCATCGAGAAGTGCTCAAAACGCGCGAGAATACACTGGACGAAGTACGCGACACCTTAATTCAGAACGGAGGAAATGTTTGCGGTATTGGGAAAGGGAAGGGCGGTGCTGTCGCCTTTGTCAAGGCTATCGACTTGAACAACCAACACTCGGATGATTGAGAAGGAGAGTATGCGTGAAGCGATGACGCTGTTTGTGTACAGAATGTTACAGCTTTTCAAGTCGTGCGAGAGTGTATACGTCGCGTTAAACGGTGCACTTGTACATTTGAACTTTCGCTGCAGCGAAAAGCGGTTCACAACTTGGGCGTCGTTATTTGGCTCATACTTGGTCGCTTTGGACCCGAGTTCCCTGCTTCACCGCAACACAGCCTTAATGGTGAGCTTTTCTCATGCCATACGCTCGTATGTACGTTCATATCCACCTAATTATCCTGCTAGAGCATACATATCCGCAGATGCTACGGGAAAACACTTGTGTGAGCACTACCTAGGCCTGTTACCACGAACTATGCGCGCAAGCACAAGCAGCATTTTTATTTCGGGATGCTTGACCATCAGAGCCTAGGCTCCGCAGCAATCTGAGGAACCTTGTATATTCAACAGGTGCTGTGCATGTGCCACCTTGAAGCCTTGAGATTTCGCTCTAGCTATGCTCTCCTGCACTCACACGTCTCTCATCTGTACCAATGTTTTCTATATAGAGACGGGCATGCCTCCAGCTTCAAGTACGGGTTTTGAAGGACCAAGTGAATCTGCGACAAAGTCACCCATTCCCACCGCTTCCCCATCTCACGAATCCACTCCCGGACCTGCGCCATGCTCTCCATCAATTACAGGCTCGTTTGCAGCTTCTACCACGGTGGCCGCAGATTCGTTCTCCTACGTCTCCCGCTCTCGCGACTCGCTTGACTCCTCCGACTCTCTCTCTCTCCGGCACTTTTCTCCTACTCCCTTCCTCTAGCTCTCTGGTTGAGGAAAGAGAGCCGTTGTTTCCTACTACGGTGATGTTTCAGCCTGAGTCGTCAATTTGGATTGCAACGAACAGTGAGGGGATTCTGCAGCATGACTGGTTTCTTACTTTGAACACCACCTCGCTAATACCTATGTAACAGAGCATACGCGAACTTTGGAACCAGGAAACATCTGGATAAAGTGTACGGAGTTACATACTTGCCACTTCAGCCGGTGCCACCACACTACTCGCAATTTCCTCATGACCTGCCGCACCAGTTAGACCCGAGGTGTCTCGATATTGATCACCCACGCTCCTTCTCGAGCTGGCCGTTGAACGTTCGAACTCCCAAGGCAAGACAGCCTCTTCAAACTTCTGCCAGCCTCGCCTTCTAGCACACGTGTGACCATATCGGAAGACCTGTGTGCTGTTGACAAAACAACATCTATCATCGAGGTAGCAGCTAAAGACATATCGAACAGGAGTGGCCGTTACTTGTGCGAAGAGACCACTCATCTGGTGACGCGCAGCCCGACCGCTAAATTGCCAGATCTCTCAATCAATACGTCCGGAAATCATCCAGGTTCTGTTCAGGGGGTATGAGCATGCGAACTCATCCGGATGGAGTACGCTAGCCACTGACTTGTTCATCAGAGGCGCAGGCAAGAAGATGAGACGACGTACGGTGCTAGTGTCCGTTGAGCTCTGAAAGGCGGTGTCAGCTGAGTGCAGTTCAGGGGGGTCGTGGCTCGAGAGAGAGCGTCCGGTGTCGAGAGGGATGGGTTTGCGTCTGACACATCGATGCATCAACTACAAGATCACTCTAGGGATGATATGGCCACAGCATTTCAAAGTTGGCGAGATGGAACTCAAGCGCTTCAAGACAATTCCGGCAATACACGACTCGGAGACTCGTTGGTGAGTGTATCGGAAAGAGTTACCACACCGAGGACGCGAACTGTCGCCGCCTGCCCGATGTCTTTAAATCAACGCCGCCTGTTGTTGCAGACCGATGCGACGCAGCGAATGACCGCTGCTGTCTCGCTCGACAATGTTGTGTGCACGGCGTTGGTCGGCCAAAAATCACAGTGCGCCCTCGGGATGAGAACTCACGCGACAACATTCTGAACTTTACCATCCAATTCAAATGCCTGGTCTGTACTGGTCTCCTATCATCCAACGCTGCGGTGCAAGACCCGATACCACAAAATTTCACAGATTTTGCAAATTTGCGGTTGGAGGTACTTGTAAAGGCAACAAGCCATAACTACAGGGATCGGATGATGGAACACTCCAACCTCTATTAATCTTTATGTAACATTAGCACCAAGATATCAAAAGCCCGTTGCCACCATTCTCCTACCGGAAAGGATATCTACAACAATGAACATCATGTTTGTCAGGGTATCATAATATACATAACAATTGTTCATAAGCCAATGAAGTGATGATTTGTGGCAAATATCCATCTAGCGTTGTGCATTGTTATGAGGACTCCTGCATGGTGGAGGGGACTCAAAGTTAAAAAGATGGACACTGTGGGGATTGAACCCACGACCTCATGCAAACCACGTGATGTGCAAAGCAAACGCGCTACCACTGTGCTAAGTGCCCATGATAACAGTTGGACAACAGGGTGGATATAATTCTACCCATGTCACATAGAGTGACTAAATCGCCCTTTGCTGGGGCACTGGTGAGCTCTGTGAGCTCAGTGATTTCAAGGATTATGCTGCTGTTAACCTCAAACTGCCTGACCATTTAGAGCTTCTCAACATTCATCAATCAAAGTCTGTTGATAGTCTTTGTGTCACTGCCAGCATTCTAATGACTACGATCATGTAGGATTCTGTCACTTTTGTGCAGCTGTCTCTGAGTCTGTCTACTTTGCATTGAGTCTTCCTGTAGAAACCTATATTGCTGCCTGTGACACAGAGACGTGGGCTTAACATTGAGGTACTGACTATTATGATCCAAATCGGATCACATGATTGGACCAAACTTCTGATCACTCTGGCATCCTCCTGCTGCTACCCCACGCACCCATCATCACATGCTCCTGGTCAAATCCCGAGCCCTCTCACAACTCCGTCATATAATCGTCCACGTCTGTCCTTACCTTGTACTTCCCACTTCATCCGCCTCCCAACTCCAATCTGATTCTGATATTTACTCCTGAATACTTACCCATATCACTTCTGTATATATACATCTCTCATCAGACTTCTAACTTGTAGTAGTATATAAGCTGATCTGACTTGTACAGTAGAAGTCTTAAGTTTGAATATCAATTTAGATTCCCCATTCTACTTCATTCTCCTTCACTAGCTGAAGCAGTCTTACCTCTGAAACAAGTGACAACTTGGAAGACAACACCACCCAACCACAAAGTGGCAATAGAAGTGTAAGGGTGTGGAGGCGCAAAAGTGTATAAGATGTGCGAGGTGGTCTTAGAGTCCTAGTTAACCTGTGTCAATAAAAGTGACAAGGTTTTTAAGATAATGGTTTTTGTAAAGGGAGAGCTAGGAGGGCAAGGCGCTACGTGTATTGCAGACAAAAGGGGGAACACAGCAAAGGTGAAAGAGGTTTTAGCATGAACAAGAGGTGAACACGCTGAGACACTGAAACACGCCCTGAGACAAACAACAACCCTAAAGACAACACAACCACCCACAAAGTGGCAAAGAAGTGAAAGGGTTATAGAGCACAAATGTGTACATAGTAAATGTGAGGTGGCCTAAGAGTCCTAGCTAAAGCTAGTGTGACTCAATGCAGCGAGAAAGTAAAATAGTGTGTTGCAAACTCGGAGTCAATATCAGGGGTCTAACCCAATGAGGAAAAGGAGTGTGATGAGACTCGCGATGAAACCGAGGAGGTGCAGGTAAGATCAATGTGAAACACGTGCAATGTAGATATCGGAACTAAGGCACAAATCAAATCAGAAACGCAAAACACTATTGCAGTGAAGAGGAAATGTTGTGATAAACTTAACGCGGTAAAAGAGAATGCAGTAAGCGCAGCGCAGTGAAGTAGAAACGGAGTTGCAGTAACACAGTAAAGGAGTTCACAGTAAAACACAGTGATACAAAAGTGGCCAACTCAAAGGTAGTAAGTGCTACTCTTCCTTAGCGAAGCACAGTGAAATGCTTCAGGTAAGGTGATAAGACAAACTGTTAATATCCACGCAAGCCCAATGGGTGCCCGGATGATCTATACACAAGAAAACATGTACTTTTATGGTGGGAGTGAAAGGAAGAGTCAATGTTGACACGTTACAGTGGCAATGACAACAGCAAGACTCAGTCAGAGTTGGAGGAGGGATCGTGGGGTTGGTAGTGGAGGACAACTCCACTGGATTGGCAATGGGTGTTGCACTTGAAGGTGTGTCCAACAACAATGTTGGGGGTGCCAGTGAGATTAAACTGAATGAGTTAGCACTCGTGGTTTTCTCCTTTCAAGTCAGGCAAAAGCCAGCAATCTGGATGCAGCGCAAGTGGGCAGTTGCAGTCAATCAGAATAAAGAGACCTGATTGCAGGGGAATTGGGTAATTGCTCTCAGTGTTGCAATAAGAGCAATTGTCCAGCAAGTCTGCTACAGAGGCAACGGACGACGCTGGCAAGGGCAATTTAGTGGACGATCTCTTGGAGGAGACTGTAGGCACTACTGGGGGTTGGTGTCAAGAACACAACCAAACTCTATGAAGAGCGAGGAAGTGACGACGGGGATGGAGGAACAACGAGCGGACTCGCGTGGACGATGACGACAAGGAAGGTGATGATGATGATGGAGAGACAACGACGAGGGAGCAGCTAACGATGAGCTAAAGACCAGAATATATTAGTACAGTGATAGACCTAGTACAAGGTGGACGTCACCTAAAGACCAGGAGGTAGAGTCTGAGGTCTTTAGGGAGCTACAAGGTGGGTTTATATACATCTCAGACAAGGACCCCTGGTACCAGGTCTGTACTCCTAACACTGCCGTGGGAACGTATGGTGTGCTATGGTGTGATGTTCTACAATGTTCCACAATGTTCCAGCACCTTCTATGATCATGTGACCAGTCTGTCACATGCACTTGATCAAATGCAGTAGCTATGTACCATCGATAAGATAAGATAAGGAAATTAAAAGGAAAAGAAAGGAAAAAGTGTGCATGTTCGTGACATTACCCCCCTCCTAAAGGCCTTTTCTCCGGAAGGCAGGAGTTGAGTCTTTTCCGTCTTCCCACAAGGATACGCGTCGTAGAGTTTCTGAAGGTAGCTTCTCAAAATTCTTGTTAATTGGTTGGAAATTCATTGCCAAGAATAGAGATGCAGCGATTGGTTGTGGAGCTCCTGGGTGTCGTCTGTGGAAATCCTTTACAGCTTCATCGGCATGAGTGACGTTGGTGGCTGGTTCCCAGGAATTTTCTGATTCTGGGTATCCTTTCCACTTAACACGGTACTGAAACTCCTTCTTTCGCCCGAAGATCCTTGAATCAAGAATCTGTTCTACCTCGTACTCCTCTTCTTCGTCTACCACAATCGGCTCAGGTTCAGGAAATTCCCGGTTAGGGACCAAACTTGCCGTCTTGGCTGGTCGCAACCTATCCACATGGAACACCAGGTGACGCTTGTTCCGAATGGTAAGTTTAACCCGGTAATTCAAATCCCCAATCTTTTCAAGATCTCATAGGGACCATCTCGTTTTGGTGCTAGCTTTGCCACCGGCTGTTCCTTTGGATGTTTTTCACGTTCCACGTAAACTTTTCACCAACTTTAAACTGCGGAGCTTTTGCAACTCCATGATCGTAGAACCGTTTCATGCGTTCTGCCGTAAGTTGTAGCACAGCTTTAGCATCTTCTTGGGCTTCTCGTAATGCTCGAAGACGTTCGTCTGCTGCGGGGACATTGGACACTGGGTTCAAAGGCACCTGGAATTCTGGTAGATACCCATAGATCAGTTCGAAGGGAGCCTTCCCGGTGGACGAGTGTACTCGGCTATTAAGTGCAAACTCCGCAATCGGTAACCAATCTACCCAGTCATCCTGTCTGAAGGAGCAGAACACTCGGAGATACTGTTCTATCTCTTGGTTCATACGTTCTGTTTTACCATCTGTCTGAGGATGGTACCAGTGGACATAAAGACTTTACTCCGAGTGCATCGTAGATAGCACGGAGAAACTTGGACGCGAACACCGAACCGCGGTCTGAGATCATCTGGCGAGGTACCCCGTGGAGTCAAACACGTTTGCAATATAATCCTGCACATGTTCAGGAGTTTTCATGTTTTCCCGTGATGGGTAACAATGCACCTGCGCTGTTGTTCGATCAACTGCAACCGTGATAGAATCATATCCTTTACATGGCGGTAACTTGACAATGAAGTCCGTGGTAACGCTTTCCCATGGAGCATTGGGCGGATCTAGTGGATTGAGTGGACCACGTGGTGGGGCGGGGTATGTCTTGGTTCTTTGACAGGTGTCACACGTGTCTACGTAGTCATTGACGAAGCGTGTCATGCTGGGCCACCATAGTTTCGAGAGAGTAGTTCCAGCGTTTTGTACCTGCCCGGATGTCCAGCGGCGGGTAAGTCATGATGTCTCCGAACCAGTTCCTTTGGATTTCGTCATCTTTAGGGACATAAACTTTTCCCCGGAACAATAACAGTCCGTTCTCCACGTTCCACTCTTCGATTCCCCGACTAAGAAGACGAGGTCCGAGTTTCTTGACTTTGGCAAGTGCTTCTGCCACTTCAGTTCTCGCAGAGAACATTTACGGATACGTTTTAACAGTCTCTGTCTGGTTGTACGCTAGCTTGCCCCCGTTGAGAAGCAGCGGCTCGGAAGACCTCTGGTCCTAGGACTATTCGTGATAGATTATCTTCTTCGTCCTTGACCTCGTGTTGGCCTAGCCTGGACATAGAATCCGACTTTCCCATTGATTTTCCGGGCTTCGGAATGATTTCAAAGTTAAAACGTGAGAGGAACAACGACCAACGTGCTTGACGGCGTGTCAAGTTACGAGCTGTCTTCCAGTACTCGAGGTTCTTGTGGTCAGAGAAGATAGGGAATTTCTCTGGTAGCCCTTCCAAGTAATGACGCCAGTCTTCAAGGGCTCGTACAATTGCCATGAGTTCTCGGTCGTAGATCTCATAGTTTCGTTCAGTCTCAGTCATGCCTTCAGACCGATAGGCTACTGGATGCCACGTGCCGTCTTCGGCTTGTTGTTCCAATACCCCTCCCATTGCATACCCGGATGCATCCGTTTCCAAACGTGTGGGTCTATCAAAACTCCACATTGCCAACACCGGCGCTTCCACAAATCGTCGGCGGAGTTCATCAAACGCCGACTGTTCTTCAGGGCCCCATTTCCAAGGAACCTTGCCCGTGAGACGGTCTAAGGGCTTACATATCTTTCTGAAGTCTTTGATGAATCTCCGGTAGAAGTTTGCAAACCCACGGAATCGGCGTATATCGGAGACGTTCTGTGGTACAGGCCACTCAGCCACTGCCTTTACTTTGACAGGGTCCATGCGTAACTGATTGTGGCCAATGATAACACCAAGATATTCTGTCTCTGAACGCTCAAATTCGCATTTCTCCGGTTTAAGAAATAGATCATGTTGTCTGA